CTGAGGGTCTATGGTTCTGAGGGTCTATGGTTCTGAGGTCCACAGGTTCTGAGGGTCTATGGTTCTGAGGGTCTATGGTTCTGAGGATCTATGGTTCTGAGGGTCTATGGTTCTGAGGATCTATGGTTCTGAGGATCTATGGTTCTGAGGGTCTATGGTTCTGAGGGTCTATGGTTCTGAGGGTCTATGGTTCTAAGGTCCACAGGTTCTGAGGGTCTATGGTTCTAAGGTCCACAGGTTCTGAGGGTCTATGGTTCTGAGGGTCTATGGTTCTGAGGGTCAATGGTTCTGAGGGTCTATGGTTCTAAGGTCCACAGGTTCTGAGGGTCTATGGTTCTAAGGTCCACAGGTTCTGAGGGTCTATGGTTCTAAGGTCCACAGGTTCTGAGGGTCTATGGTTCTAAGGTCCACAGGTTCTGAGGGTCTATGGTTCTAAGGTCCACAGGTTCTGAGGGTCTATGGTTCTGAGGTCCACAGGTTCTGAGGGTCTATGGTTCGGAGGTCCACAGGGTCTGAGGGTCTATGGTTCTGAGGTCCACAGGTTCTGAGGGTCTATGGTTCTGAGGTCCACAGGTTCTGAGGGTCTATGGTTCTGAGGGTCTATGGTTCTGAGGGGAGCGCAGTCTGTAGAATGAGTGTGTGTGTATTCTGACGCTGTGACCCGCGGATCACACACAGATAAATGTGTTCTGTTTAAAGCAGTAAATGTAGTTTGTAAAAACAGAGGTGTCGGAGCTGCTTCAGGAGCTGCTTCAGGAGCTGCTTCAGGAGGAGCTGCTTCAGGAGGAGCTGCTTCAGGAGGAGCTGCTTCAGGAGGAGCTGCTTCAGGAGCTGCTTCAGGAGCTGCTTCAGGAGCTGCTTCAGGAGGAGCTGCTTCAGGAGGAGCTGCTTCAGGAGCTGCTTCAGGAGCCACACATGAAGCTCTGGCTCCTGCTCTGGCTCCTGCTCTGGCTCCTGCTCTGGCTCCTCCTCTGGCTCCTCCTCTGGCTCCTCCTCTGGCTCCTCCTCTGGCTCCTGCTCTGGCTCCTGCTCTGGCTCCTTCTCTAGCTCCTGCTCTGGCTCCTGCTCCTGCTCTGGCTCCTGCTCTGGCTCCTGCTCTGGCTCCTCCTCTGGCTCCTGCTCCTCCTCTGGCTCCTCCTCTGGCTCCTCCTCTGGCTCCTGCTCTGGCTCCTGCTCTGGCTCCTGCTCTGGCTCCTCCTCTGGCTCCTCCTCTGGCTCCTCCTGCTCTGGCTCCTCCTCTGGCTCCTGCTCTGGCTCCTCCTGCTCTGGCTCCTCTTCCTCCATCAGTAAAGTATTTTTGTCTACTTTTGTCTCTGAGTCAGATCTGAAACCTCTGTGTCTCGAACTTGATCCAACAATAAAAACAAATTAAACTTTTCTGAAACGAAAAAAAAATTCTGGAGAAAAATGTAATATTTTGGAACAAACGTGGTTTAAACTCTGGAGCGATTATCGTTTGTACATGGACTGTGTTTGTGTGAGGCCAGTCCCTGTGCTCCTCAGAGTCCCAGCAGGAGTCCAGTCCCTGTGCTCCTCAGAGTCCCAGCAGGAGTCCGGTCCCTGTGCTCCTCAGAGTCCCAGCTGGAGTCCGGTCCCTGTGCTCCTCAGAGTCCCAGCAGGAGGCCAGTCCCTGTGCTCCTCAGAGTCTCAGCAGGAGTCCAGTCCCTGTGCTCCTCAGAGTCCCAGCAGGAGGCCAGTCCCTGTGCTCCTCAGAGTCCCAGCAGGAGTCCAGTCCCTGTGCTCCTCAGAGTCCCAGCAGGAGGCCAGTCCCTGTGCTCCTCAGAGTCCCAGCAGGAGTCCGGTCCCTGTGCTCCTCAGAGTCCCAGCTGGAGTCCGGTCCCTGTGCTCCTCAGAGTCCCAGCAGGAGTCCGGTCCCTGTGCTCCTCAGAGTCCCAGCAGGAGTCCGGCCCTGTGCTCCTCAGAGTCCCAGCAGGAGTCCGGTCCCTGTGCTCCTCAGAGTCCCAGCAGGAGTCCGGTCCCTGTGCTCCTCAGAGTCCCAGCAGGAGGCCGGTCCCTGTGCTCCTCAGAGTCCCAGCAGGAGTCCGGTCCCTGTGCTCCTCAGAGTCCCAGCAGGAGGTCCCTGTGCTCCTTTAACAAACTCCCTCTAAACTTGTCCATATTTAGTTTTATTTCCAGCTGAACTTGATGAATCCAGTTCTAATGTGGTTCACTTCGGCTGCGTTCCCACTGGACAAATGGACTGGGTTCAGATCTCATGACGTCCTGTTTCTGTGACTGAGGAGACTGATGAATGTGGTCCTGAACCAAAGCGCCTCGTACAAACACCTTTCACATCATTTACAGACGTGTGCTTTTTAATATAGTCTTTATATCTGTGTGTCCACATTTAGTCTAAAATCATCTGGAATCGCGGCAAAAACTCAATATTTGACTTAAAATGAGCTTCTCACTAAATCCACATCAGGTTTGATCTTTATGGTTTTATCATTGTTGCTGCTTAAAGCTCGGGTACCTAAATTTAAAACCACCAAAATGTAACGAAAGCCTTGTTGACCACAGCGCCGACTCTGCTCCGCTCACCTGGTCCCGTATCCTAGCAACCAAATGGGAGTCAGGGGACATTCCTTGGTAGCCATGTCTTCCATCAGCATTCTGACCAATGTCGGCTAGAACACTTCAGCACCAGCTCGGCCCGAACCAGCTCGGCCTGAACCAGGACCAAGAGGGACTTTATTAGGATGAAGACAAATCCACATTGAACCCTTGGATCTTCCTGAAAAACAACCACATTCTTTCAAACTTGAATCATTTTAATGTAAAGTCTAGTTTTTGCCGCTTTCCAGAATCCATAGTATTTTGTGTTTTTTCATTTGCAGATGGTTTAATTTAAGCTCAGATTAAATGCTCTAATTGCCTTGTTTGGGAACTCACATTTTATTATTATTATTAAGCCTCTGTCTCTGTATATGAAATATTTTAATATAATAGGATATGGGGAATCTTTAACTCAGACAAAGCCATTGTTCTCATCACGCTTGTACATTGAACAGACTGCGTTATATAAAGATTAAAATGCTGATGATTTTAGTAGAAACTGAAGGTGAAACCACGAGAAAATAAAATGTTTGGGACTTTTTTACCTCAAGTTTTTGTCCAAGTGTCGGTTTGTGTTTTTGTATCACCCTAGACCACAGTATCTCCATTCACCAACAGCAGATTAGAGAAACAGAATATACAATAACAACAAGTTCAAAGGGGGCGGGGCTGAGGCTGTGGACCCGTTACACCGGGACCGAGGGTGTGGACCCGTTACACCGGGACCGAGGGTGTGGACCCGTTACACCGGGACCGAGGGTGTGGACCCGTTACACCGGGACCGAGGGTGTGGACCCGGGACTGAGGCTGTGGACCCGTTACACCGGGACCGAGGGTGTAGACCCGGGACTGAGGCTGTGGACCCGTTACACCGGGACCGAGGGTGTAGGACCCGGGACTGAGGCTGTGGACCCGTTACACCGGGACCGAGGGTGTGGACCCGGGACTGAGGCTGTGGACCCGTTACACCGGGACCGAGGGTGTGGACCCGGGACTGAGGCTGTGGACCCGTTACACCGGGACCGAGGGTGTGGACCCGGGACTGAGGCTGTGGACCCGGGACTGAGGCTGTGGACCCGTTACACCGGGACCGAGGCTGTGGACCCGTTACACCGGGACCGAGGCTGTGGACCCGGGACCGAGGCTGTAGACCCAGGACCGAGGCTGTAGACCCAGGACCGAGGCTGTAGACCCAGGACTGAGGCTGTAGACCCAGGACTGAGGCTGTAGACCCAGGACTGAGGCTGTAGACCCAGGACTGAGGCTGTAGACCCAGGACTGAGGCTGTAGACCCAGGACTGAGGCTGTAGACCCAGGGCTGAGGCTGTAGACCCAGGGCCGAGGCTGTAGACCCAGGACCGAGGCTGTGGAACCCGGGACCGAGGCCTTGAACCCGGGACTGAGGCTGTAGTCCCAGAACCGAGGCTAAGACATGCTTTAATATAGTGTACAACATCTCCAGGAACAACATCCAGGGCTTGAAAAGAAGTAAGTTTTGCAAACACTGCAAAAATGTGGGAAATGACTAAAATGATCCATGTAGTTATACTTTTGTACCACTAGGGGGAGCTGCACACGCGCTGCAGATCTAACCACTAGGGGGAGCTGCAGATCTAACCACTAGGGGGAGCTGCAGATCTAACCACTAGGGGGAGCTGCACACGCGCTGCAGATCTAAATGTCCAGTACATTCATGTAGTTTTCTGTAAGCATAAGTCTGTTGCAAATTAAAACAAAACGATACATTAAATAAGCAACTGTAACATTCCACAAAACTGGAAATGCATTCAGGGGCTCATCACGCCATGAAACAATGGGACAGCGGGTGAACAGCAATGAACAGACGACAGCTGAATTCACAGGTTAGTGCTGTTACCAGACTTCTCCAGCAGGGGGCTCTATCTGCAGCTTAACTGACAATCTGCTAACAACAAACATGTTGATAAAATGTTTCCTATGGTTTGTGCTCGTGTTGCGGATGTAGCCACAGATAGTCATTTATAAATTATGTATAATTTTAATTTCCCATGTTTTAAACCGTGTTGTGAAACCTGCAGGTTTGTGGAACTGAACGAAACAGACATAAAATAAAAAATATATATTTTATTTTTCTGCGCCGTCATTTCATGCTGACGTCATCACCACGCGCCGCTGGACCTGCTCGTTGGCGTCTTCAGTCTTTTGTTTTCCTCCTCCAGCTCCCCGGTGGGTGTGTGAGTGTCAGGCCGGTGTCCAGAGCTCCTCACGGCCGCCTGCAGAGTCATGGAGCCCGGGGAGAGCGCGGAGGACAGGCCGGCGGCAGGAGCTCTGTCCGCGGCTCAGCGCAGAGCCGAGATCCGCAGAAGAAAACTGCTCCAGAACTCAGAGGTTCGGATGCAGAGGATCGTGGGCCAGAACCAAGAGGTTCGGATGCAGAGGATCGTGGGCCAAGCCACGGACCCTGAGCCCGGTACACGTGCTTTATACATGTGTTATATATGTGTTATATATGTATTATATATGTGTTATATATGTGTTATATATGTATTATACAGTGGCGGCTGGTGGAATTTTCTACTGGGGGGGCTATGAATATGATGACTAGATATATACCAGCAGGGTAGGGATGCTTTCTGATCCCTACCCTGTAGCTTTCATCCAGCTGGGATGAAATATTTATCTTCCCAAACATAGCTAATTTGAGGGCATGTTGCATGTGGATACCAGTCTGCTCATGCTTCTTTGCCTTTTCTAAAAAGTGCTTCAGATCAGTCATACCTGTCTTGATCCATGCTGGGTCAGATCCTGATGTTTGAAACAAGAGGCATGGAAAGCAAAATAAAGCATTAGCCTCACTACATGCTGCTAGCCAAGATCTGGCGCTGAACCAGGTCCTGGAAAAAGTACGAGTACCGTCCCCCCCTGTCGCTGGACTGCTGACTAATGGTAATATTTGGCTGATCAGGTCCAAGCTCTTTAACCTCACTGACTGCCAGGCATTTTCAGATTTGAGAAGTGCGTTCTGCCAGTGTTTTCAGGTGATTTGACCCAACTTTGAAGTGCCACAGAATATTCATTTTTTAGACGATGTAAACACCAAGGGCACCAAATTAAAGATTCACCTCTCTGCTTTACTCTGAAAAAAACAGTTTGTTTCTACCTCTTACCGTTCTTGCGTTATTTGCCATAGAACAAAGCATACTTTCACCCATAACACCTGGTCTGAGCAAGAAAACAGAGAAAAGGAGCTGCATGTAAACAGGAACATATCAAGCAGAAAAGAGACTTTTAGATGCATTTTTGCTGCTTTAAGTGACAACTCAAAACATCTCCACACTTGTTCCATTACAAAAATTATAAAAACATGACTCTGAAATAATACTTTGATGGCAAATTGTTGGCAATTTATTCACAGATAGAAATTTAACTTTCTTCTATTCCATCAACCAAAACGTCAAACAACAACAACACAAAGATCAATAAAACTATAGATGTATAAAAATAGAATGAAGCGTGTGAATTTGAGTGTGTGTGTGTGAATGTCAGTGTGTGAGTGAGTGTCTGTGTGAATGAGTGTCTGTGTGTGTGAATGTCAGTGTGTGTGAATGTCAGTGTGCGAGTGAGTGTCTGTGTGAGTGAGTGTCTGTGTGTGTGAATGTCAGTGTGTGTGAATGTCAGTGTGTGAGTGAGTGTCTGTGTGAATGAGTGTCTGTGTGAGTGAGTGTCTGTGTGAGTGAGTGAGTCTGTGTGAGTGAGTGTCTGTTGTGTGAGTGAGTGTCTGTGTGAGTGAGTGTCTGTGTGAGTGAGTGAGTCTGTGTGAGTGAGTGTCTGTGTGAGTGAGTGTCTGTGTGAGTGAGTGTCTGTGTGCGTGAGTGAGTGTCTGTGTGAGTGTGTGAGTGTCTGTGTGAGTGAGTGAGTGTCTGTGTGAGTGAGTGTCTGTGTGAGTGAGTGAGTGTCTGTGTGAGTGAGTGTCTGTGTGCGTGAGTGAGTGTCTGTGTGAGTGAGTGTCTGTGTGAGTGTGAGTGTCTGTGTGAGTGAGTGAGTGAGTGTCTGTGTGCGTGAGTGAGTGTCTGTGTGAGTGAGTGTCTGTGTGCGTGAGTGTCAGTGTGTGAGTGAGTGAGTGAGTGTCTGTGTGAGTGAGTGTCTGTGTGAGTGTGTGTCTGTGTGATGTCGTGTGAGTGAGTGAGTGTCTGTGTGTGTGAGTGAGTGTCTGTGTGTGAGTGAGTGTCTGTGTGCGTGAGTGTCAGTGTGATGAGTGAGTGTCTGTGTGTGAGTGAGTGTCTGTGTGCGTGAGTGAGTGTGCGAGTGAGTGTCTGTGTGAGTGAGTGTCTGTGTGCGAGTGAGTGTCTGTGTGAGTGAGTGAGTGTCTGTGTGAGTGAGTGTCAGTGTGCGAGTGAGTGTCAGTGTGTGAGTGAGTGTCTGTGTGAGTGAGTGTCAGTGTGCGAGTGAGTGTCTGTGTGAGTGAGTGTCTGTGTGAGTGAGTGTCTGTGTGCGAGTGAGTGTCTGTGTGCGAGTGAGTGTCTGTGTGAGTGAATGTCTGTGTGCGAGTGAGTGTCAGTGTGCGAGTGAGTGTCTGTGTGAGTGAGTGTCTGTGTGCGAGTGAGTGTCTGTGTGAGTGAGTGTCTGTGTGTGAGTGAGTGTCTGTGTGCGAGTGAGTGTCTGTGTGAGTGAGTGTCATGTGTGCGAGTGAATGTCAGTGTGTGAGTGAGTGTCTGTGTGTGTGAGTGAGTGTCTGTGTGGCGTGTGAGTGTCGAGTGAGTGTCTGTGTGAGTGAGTGTCTGTGTGCGTGAGTGAGTGTCAGTGTGTGAGTGAGTGTCAGTGTGTGTGTGAGTGAGTGTGTGAGTGAGTGTGTGCGAGTGAGTGTCTGTGTGAGTGTGTGAGTGAGTGTGGTGCGAGTGTGTCTGTGTGCGAGTGAGTGTCTGTGTCAGGTGTGTGAGTGAGTGTCTGTGTGCGAGTGTGTGTCTGTGTGCGTGAGTGAGTGAGTGAGTGCGTGTGAGTGTTTGTGAGTGTGTCAGTGTGCGAGTGAGTGTCAGTGTGCGAGTGAGTGTCAGTGTGCAGTGAGTGTCAGTGGTGAGTGAGTGTAGGTGTGTGAGTGTCAGTGTGTGAGTGAGTGTCAGTGTGTGTGAGTGTCAGTGTGTGAGTGAGTGTCAGTGTGTGGTGAGTGTCAGTGTTGAGTGAGTGTCAGTGTGTGAGTGAGTGTCTGTGTGAGTGAGTGTCAGTGTGTGAGTGAGTGTCGTGTGCGAGTGTAGTGTGTGGTGTGAGTGAGTGTCAGTGTGTGAGTGAGTGTCAGTGTGTGAGTGAGTGTCGTGTGCGTGAGTGAGTGTCAGTGTGAGTGAGTGTCTGTGTGTCGAGTGAGTGTCAGTGTGTGCGAGTGTGAGTGTCGTGTGTGAGTGAGTGTCGTGTGTGAGTGAGTGTCAGTGTGTGAGTGAGTGTCGTGTGAGTGAGTGTCAGTGTGTGAGTGAGTGTCAGGTGTGAGTGAGTGTCAGGTGTGCAGTGAGTGTCCACGTGTGCTGAGTGGTGTGAGTGTGCGAGTGTGTGTCAGTGTGTGAGTGTGTGTCAGTGTGTGGAGTGAGTGTCTGTGTGAGTGGGTCAGTGTGGAGTGTGTGTCAGTGTGTGTGAGTGGTGTCAGTGTGTCGTGTTGAGTGTCAGTGTGAGTGAGTGTCAGTGTTGCGAGTGAGTGTCTGAGTGTTGAAGTGAGTGTCTGTGTGTGAGTGAGTGTCAGTGTGAGTGAGTGTCAGTGTGTGAGTGAGTGTCAGTGTGCGAGTGAGTGTCATGTGTGTGTGTGTGTCAGTGTGTGAGTGAGTGTCAGTGTGAGTGAAGTGTCAGTGTGCGAGTGAGTGTCATGTGTGAGTGAGTGTCAGTGTGCGAGTGAGTGTCAGTGTGTGTGAGTGTCAGTGTGTGAGTGAGTGTCAGTGCGAGTGAGTGTCAGTGTGCGAGTGAGTGTGTCTGTGTGTGAGTGAGTGTCTGTGTGTGAGTGAGTTCTGTGTGTGTGAGTGTCAGTGTTGCGTGAGTGAGTGTCGTGTGAGTGAGTGTCAGTGTGCGAGTGGAGTGTCTGTGTGAGTGAGTGTCAGTGTGTGAGTGAGTGTCATGAGTGCGTGTGAGTCAGTGGTGAGTGAGTGTCAGTGTGCGAGTGAGTGTCAGTGTGCGAGTGAGTGTCAGTGTGCGAGTGAGTGTCAGTGTGGATGAGTGTCGTGGTGAGTGAGTGTCTGTGTGAGTGAGTGTCAGTGTGTGAGTGAGTGTCAGTGTGCGAGTGAGTGTCAGTGTGTGTGAGTGTCAGTGTGCGAGTGAGTGTCAGTGTGAGAGTGAGTGTCAGTGTGTGAGTGAGTGTCAGTGTGGCGAGTGAGTGTCTGTGTGTGAGTGAGTGTCAGTGTGTGAGTGAGTGTCAGTGTGGAGTGAGTGTCTGTGTGAGTGAGTGTCAGTGTGCGAGTGAGTGTCAGTGTGCGAGTGAGTGTCAGTGTGCGAGTGAGTGTCAGTGTGTGAGTGATGTCTGTGTGAGTAGTGTCAGTGTGCGAGTGAGTGTCAGTGTGAGATGTGAGTGGTCAGTGTGTGAGTGAGTGGCAGTGTGGTGAGGGAGTGTCAGTGTGCGAGTGAGTGTCAGTGTGGCGTGTTGTGTGTCAGTGTGTTGAGTGAGTGTCGTGTGCGAGTGAGTGTTAAGTGTGCGAGTGAGTGTCAGTGTGCGAGTGAGTGTCAGTGTGTGAGTGAGTGTTCAGTGTGTGAGTGAGTGTCAGTGTGCGAGTCAGAGTGTCAGTGTGTGAGTGAGTGTCAGTGTGTGAGTGAGTGTACAGTGTGCGTGTGAGTGTGAGTGTGTGTAAGTCCAGTGGTGCGAGTTCATGTCAGTGTGTGAAGTGTCAAGTGTGCGAGTGAATGTCAGTGTGCGAGTGGTGTCAGTGTGTGATGTGAGTGTCAGTGTGTGAGTGAAGAAAGAAGAATAGGCGTCAGTGTGAAAGTGACGGAGAGTGGAGAGAGGAGAGGGGGTGATCGTGAGTGAAAGAGAAGAGCGGCGAGAGCGAAGAAAGCGAGAGGAGTGCGAGAGAAAGCGAGGGAGAGGAGAGGGGGGATAGGAGAGAGAAAGACAGGTGAGGGGAGAGAGAGACACAGAGAAAGAGAGAGGACAATGAGGGGGGGGGCGGAAGGAGAACGAGAGAGGGAAGAGAGGGAGGAGAGAAGGTGGTGAGAGGGACGAGAGAGAGCGGGTGAGAAGAAAGACGAGAAGGAGTGAGAGAGAAAGAGAAGGGTAGAGGAAGAATGATGAGAGAGGGAGGCAAGAGGAGGGAGACGAGGAGAGAAAAAGCGAGGGAGCGAGGGTTTTTGTCGAGTTGAGAGAAAAAATAGAAGGTAGATGATAGAGATGAGAGAGAGGCGAAGAGGGCCTGGCTGGCAAACGCAAGGAACATCTGGCAACATGCATCTATGTGGAGGAGAGCTGGGTTCAGAGCCCACAGGTAATTAAAGGTGCTGTCTGTAA